CGTGATGCATCAGGGGACATTTTATGAAACTCAATGAGACACAGTAAGGTTTAAAAAACATGACAAGGCTATAAGGCAAGATAATGGGTTAGTTGCTCATAGTGCTACAGCAAGAAAGGGTTCAGATCTACTGACCAGTTTGAACCCTGCGATGGAATTGACCTCTCTGTAGAAACGCCACACAGATGTGGAATTGACCTTCTGTTTGGATTTATATGTAGCCCGTGGACTTGATATATATGAGTAACGTCCCCCATAGGCTTCCTGAGCAGCTGTTTTGAAGCTCAGTGTAGTGGATTCGTCACCAGTTTGCCAATACTTGATTCCTCCTGGCTAATCTAAATATGAGCAAGCAGGTGGAGCGGGAGTGGAGCTGAGGCGTGTCATGGACTGTCCTATGACAGTAAACACCTGCCATTGAAAGCAACCATGCTTTTCAACGGGTCGGTTATATAAAAATTAAACCACAGTGATCATGAACAGGGAAATTATTTATGGAGCCTAAAACTGTGTTTTGTACCAGGCTGTAAACATGTTCATCCCTGCTGAAAAGTTGGATATTTTATTATTGGGGTCTATGGGGATTGAATCGCTTTCCGAGCCAGGCTCAGGTGGACATTTGTAAGGGAACTTTTTGGCACATCCGCGTTGGCTTCCTTTTTTAGCCACAGGGGTTGCTGCTTGATGTAGACCCATGTCTTTGTCGATTCCTTTTTTTTTTTTTTGCTTTCTTCCTACAGTGCAATGCTAATGAGGTAATGTGAGAACTCTAAACTGCTCATTTGCAAAAGTTTTTTTCTATAGATGTCAGCCCCATGCTAAACTGGTGGTACACGGTAATGTTCCCTTCTTGGCACGGAATAGGATGAGCATGTAAGGATAGTCTATCGATGTAGATAAAAGCAGAAAAAACAGTTTTCTTTTCCTGACTCTTTATTTAAAATACAGAATGTAATGATGGCTGCGTGTTCAGGCAGCGCTGTGCAAGCATAAGTTTGGTGTCCACTAACATTTTAAGTGATACAAGATACAACTATTCAGGGCAAATTCATAGCTGGAGGTGGGAAACAGTGAAGCACAATGATAAATCTGTTTAGCGCATCATATTAATATTTTTGATTGCTTAATTGTCACCGATTGAGAAATACGGTATACACAAAATGCAGTAATATATATATAAATATATATATATATTTATGACACCATATTGCCAACAAAACCTTCCCGGTAAAAACTGCACTAAATTTGCCCCAAATGTTAACCTGCCATCACCTTATGGGTCTACAAACCCTGCAACTTAAACATGCATGATTACACACAGACAGCAGTGTCCCAGGAAATGTGACAACCAAACAACTCTGTCAGCTATTTAAATATATCATTAAATCACCACTTTGTTATTGTGATGCTAAAGATGTGCTTTTGATATTTCATGAAGTTACACAGTACATCATCCAAAATGTTGGATAACAAATTATGGTCATTAAAAAATATCCTAATTGAGGCCTAAGACCCTAACAGGCCTAAACACAGACCTGTACACAGTTGTTGTTGTTGTTTTTAAAGTAAGATACCAGGGCTAGTCAATTGGAAGCACTAATCACCCTCCCGTAATACAGGTATCATAGAGACATCACTTTGTGACATAGCTGGCCTGTTAGTTAAAACATTCAGAAATGAACAAAGCTCACATGCTGGATGTACATTAAAGTGATCAAGTATTTTACTATGTAGACTATATATATATATATATATATATAATTTTTTTTTAAAACATTCATAGTGCTCCAACCAAATTAATAAACAAATATACAACCAATAACCATACATTCCAAAAAAAAGACCATTTTAATATCTTTATAACTTGTGTACTTTATATGTTTTCCTCATTTCCTCATATTCACATGCTCCCCGCTATGATTATATTAAAATCGGTGTCAGTGTGTTCATGTGCAAAACAACATCTACAGTTTTACACACCACTGCTGAGGTAAAGGCATCACTTTGGAGAATAGAATTTTTTAAAACTTCACAACTATTTTATATATTAATCTGCTTTTATATACACACTATAAAGTGTGTGTATTGACTCGGTTTAAAGTTGTTTTTCTATCTCTTATAAAATAGGGTACGAGTTGAACTCCAGTCAGAGTTATAATAAAAAGATAAATATTCAAAGACTTTATACGGAACCTTTTGTCCATGATATGATATATTTAAGATTTAGTTGTTCATTTTAATATTTTACAGGAGGCGAATAAAACATATCAAACTGCAACAAAAATACCTCTGACACCATAAATTAAATGTACAAGGTAATACATATGCATGGATGAAAATTAAATCAAACTAAAATTTAGGTTTTACAACATTTGATAAATGATGCCACCTGATTGCTACAGAAAGTAAAAGCTTAAACATGCCGCATTACAGTGGTTTTCTGAGAAACTTAAGAGAACGAAATTACGTTTTATTTTACTGTTCTATTTCTTTTTGATATGTAATGCTTGACATGCATCCATGGCAGTATAGTACACTGTACATGCTTTAGTTGCCAAAATAGCAAATTCTACCTATTTTGGTGCATAATTACACTTTATTGATAACCCAAAGTTTGCAGTCAGTCATGATTGTAAACATCTTGTACTTTAATGTGGATCATTTGGTATTAATTCTTAAATCGCTGCCTGCTGGGACTCAGCTCTTGTGATTATGGTTAATGGCAAGAGTTCGTTTCTAACTGTTGTCTGTGTGTAGGTCTCCGTTTTGACAACCTTTATTAAATCCTACCATCAATATTAACAAAGGTTAGCAGGAACGTAATTCTATGATTGTTGGTGCAATGTGAGTTTTTCATTTTAAATGGTCTTTGATATGTTTTTGACTTTGACAAAAGATGTTGTCATGTAGTCAACTTCACTTTATGTCTAACCACTTAGTCCTTTTGCTAGTTTTGTTTGTATATATAGAAGAATTCTAAGCGACAAGCTCCACACTGTCACTGACTTTACAATGTAATGCAGTCGCAGATATCACGCTCCAATACTAAAACTCATTTTAACCCCATAAATAACTGCAACTGAACTGTGTTCAGGCACTCTAACATGTCATCCCTTTATACAGTGCCAGGCTCGATGGACAAGTGTCTATCACAGGGGTGGACGGTATGACAGGCAGTAGAAATATAACAATTTGGCTATGCTGTTGGTATCAGTATACAATGTAAATCACATAAAGTGCTCTGAAAAGCAACTAATGCCATGTTAATCAGTGCAGTCCTTAGTTTATGTCACTGACAGGCCGCTAAAAACATACAAGCGTACCTTTTTCCTTTTAAAAACAAAAGCGGCTTACAAAAAAGTGGATGAAGAAAAAAGACACACAAGAGGACAGATACAGGTCCAAATAATAACAATGTGGCGCTTACGCTGCCTTTTTTACAGATGATTTTTTGATTTGTCACAGTAGATAAAGCACAGCTGTAATAACAACAATCATGACTAGATTCCATTTAGCTGCTTCAGTTTAAGGGCCCTGGTATCCATCTATCCATCTGTCTATATGTCTGTCCGTGTACACAGTTCAAACATCTTCCTTTTGAGTTACCATTGAGACAACTACTACGTTGCAGTTACGTTACTGCTTAGTGTAGTGCCTTTTTTCTGGTCTTCATAGTTGTGCTGTCACAAGTCTTCAGCGTGTTCAAAAAGCTTCAGCTAGAGTCTTGACAAACCCCCCCCCAAAAAAAATGATAATTTAACACCCATTCTAGCGTCTCTTCACTGACTAACATTGCAACCTCGAGCTGATTTTAAGGTTGTTCTTTTACTGTACAAGTCCTACTGTACCCCTTTATCTCTGGATTGGACTTCAGTTCCATATTAAAGAAGGACGTTCAGCTGAAATCTTTAAATCAATTACCGTTATTTACTTAATTCCAGCCTGACCTAGAACTTAGTTTTGTCCATCACCTTTTCAAACTTCCCTTTAATGCCGATATTCATAATTTCAGTGCTTTTAAAAATATTTTTACATACTCTAACATTCTGTTAAAGTCCATGTTTTTAATATGATGGTTGTATTTTTGCACTTTAAATAAAATGAATTGATTGATTGACTATCAAGTGCATAAACTTTACACATTAAAATAAATTTGCTCAAACAAAATGTAAATATGGTGCACTATATAGGAATAGGGAGTAATCTCTGAGTCAGCTACTGCCATGACCTACTGGGACAGCTGAATAGAACGGAGCCATAATTCAATGTGATTATCAGCACGTGTGCTTTCCCCACTGTCACAGGTCAAAATGTCTGCTACGAAAAAGGTCAAATGAAGTGAATACAATTACAATATATGTAGAGCACACAGGACAACTGTTTTGTCAAAACTCCACAGTTGCAAGGAATGTTTAAGACTGCTCTTCGGCTCAGACACAAGTAGACATCATCGACACATGTAAACATCATTTGGTTGAGTCACTGACTAGTTGTTGTCCTTAAGATAAGAAATTCCAGCTGTGGAAGGACATTACACTTGTACTAACTGCATCTATGTTAAGACATGGTGTCGGTACGGGCAGTTGAAAGACATGGCTTTAAGGCAATGTTGCAAAATGCTCACAATATGTCAAACCAAAGCATTTCAACCAAAAAAAAAAGTACATTGGATGTGTGAGACAGTGGAACTAACGGCACAATGTCCTGCTACATAACACATACACACAACGTCTGCCTTACAGTGTGGTAGTTAATATAGTTTAAACTTCCATCTAGTGTGACACTTCGCCTCCACAACTGCCATTAAGTTTATTTATTGTCAGTTGCAGGCAATTAGGTTTCTTCTTCTCAAGGCTTTGGACTTAATTTAAAATCACATTTATTCAAAGTGTGAGAGCAAAAATGACACACCGTAATGTTGTGTTTTTGTTAAAAGTTTCTGTATTCAAAATATACCGTGGTATAAATTTTCAGGTCATACCGCCCAGCCCTAGCCTGTCATATAGTGTGCTATGAAAATGGCAGTCTGTATTATAAGAAAGACGTCTAATGCTATTGAATGAGTGTTTAGTGGTTAAGTCCCTGGATTACTTCAAGGAAAAAGACACATCTTACATATAGAAATTTGCACACATACATAGACACATTCAGTACACACACACACACAGAAGCACACTTGTGTGCATTGTACACACGCACGCACGCACAAACAGAAGGGATGGAAGTATTAGTGGACAATAGTTCAAGCGGTGGTCACTATAGATCTTCAGGAAGGGGTGCGCATGTCTGAAAGAAAAAAGAAAAAAAGAGAACAATATTTTGACTTAAACAAGTAATATGCTAGTAGATGCCCCATAAAATATAACTCTAATGAGATAAAGCCAAGAATTAGAAAGATCTGGGGCACAACACAACAAGGAAACATGTATACTGCACGATTCAGGCTTTTTCTTTTTTTCAGCACATCCCAGAGATGGGATAACGATCGTCAGAATGTGCAGGCCGAATCAGCACCCTAAACTCTCTGCCATGTTCCTCATACCATTGCTATAACATTTTTCTGGTCGGGTGCAACATTCTGTTGAAAGAGGCCGCTGCCAACACTGAATACCGCTGCTGTGACGGGGTATACATTGTCTGCAACAATGTTTAGGTCAGTGGTTTGTGTCACAATAACATCCCTATGAATGCCAGGATGCTAAGTGTCCCAGCAGATCATTACCCAGAGCAGTACACTGCCTCATCTGGCTTGCCTTCTTTTATAATGCATACTGTTGCCATTTCCTCCCTAAGTAAATGACACAGACATCGACATCATTTAAAAGAAAATTGTATTCGTCAGACCAGGCCACCTTCTTCCCATGGTCCAGTTCTGACACTCATGTAGCCATAATAGACACTTTTGGTGGTCATCGTGGGCACTCTGACTGGTTTGCGGCTATCCAACCCTATATGCAGTAAGCTGCAATGAACTGTATGTTGTGACACCTTTCTCTCATAGCAGATCCAACCACATAGGCCAGCCTTTGGGGGGTTTCACCTGTCAGTGATCCACAGTCTTCTTTCATTTGAGAGAGGATTCATCGCATTGGCTTCTAATTCAAGGTTCTTATTCTGTTCATTGATGAATCATTTCAATTTCTGGCTATTGAAACTCTTGCAAGTAGCATTCTGTGAAAAGGTAACATTCCTAAGACAGCAGTGCCTTATCAGTTTAGTTTGGATATGACTGGTACCAGTATGCACCTCAGATGTATTTCATGTTTTTACTTCATGCTGTTCAGGTCAAGTTAAGCTCCACATTGCATCTGCAATGGACACTAACAGTCTGGGTGACATGAGCAGGTACTTACAAGATGAGGTGTTGGGTGTTGAAGCGTCACAGGTTCAATCATGTCACTCCGCTATGGTTGTCTATAAATGTAGGAGAAGAGGAATCCAACAACATGACAAGAGGTTAGCTTTCAATAGAATGATAGTAAAGTGCTTCATCCATTGACACAGTTGTGTCTTCACTGAAGGGTTTTTCTTTTGTTTCCAGGAAACTCCTCGTATACACCAACAGTTAGCCAAGACCTAAACTGGAAGCCTGCATTATAACAAATTTCAAAATAGACAAATTACCTGTTTGTTTTACACATAAACAGGACAAGTGTGTTTTCATTACACTGCATGTCTGCATAAGATGGTTATATGTTACCATCATTCACATATTGTCATTATCATTCATCCATAGTCACAAAAGATGAACTGTCTCCAGTGAACTTGAGCCTCCTGAATTGTGTTCTGTGCTTAAGAATCAAGGTTTTTAAGGACTCCAGAATGTTGGTATTAATAGGTCTTAATTCATTGACATATATTGATTCTCATTGGTTCTTCTAATGTTACTGTCCATTAGTGAAAACCACTTACACTGGCATTTCTTACTGCAACATTCCACTGCTGACTTAGTGCAGTGTAAAACTCAGAGCTGCACACTTAAATGCAGTGGCTAAGCCAGCAGAGCAACTATTCACTCTGGCACACAGTGATGACATATCACAATCAGCAGTGGAATATGCCAGTAATAGTCAGTGCATGCTGGAGGGGAGTGGTATCCGCCAGAACTGAAATGACATGCTGTTTGTAAGTGGCATATGCCATTAGAACAGCTGCTGCATCCTAATAAGTGTATTATTATGAATCAGCATATGCCACTAAAACAGGACTGGCATACCATTAGCTACTTTTTGATCTCGGTGCTGCTGGTAGTTCCTAATTGAGGATTAATGTTGTAAAGATTCCTTACTTGGTCCCCTCCTCTGCTACACCTTCCGCCTCCAGTTTCCCCTCCTCCTCCATCTTTTCCTCTGAAATCAGTTCCTGTTTCCGATGTCGACGAAGACATTTTATCACTACCATGGACAGGATCAGCAGCGCCAATGCTCCGCCCACTGATGCCCCGATCGCAACTGCAATAGTTGAGTCCCTTGGAGGGGGAACTGAGGAAAGGAGAGGAGAGGGTTAACTATTTTGTAGACAAAGAATGAGAGACAAGTGCAGTGCTGGCTAAAAGCTCTGCTGGGCTGATTAAACAGAGTGGAAAGAAAGAAAGTGCTGCTGAGTTAGCCTGTGCCATATGTGTGTGTGTGCGAGAGCGCACGAGAGAAGCTGAGGGACTAAGTTCAACCTCTTGTTGGCCATTAATAAGTAAAAAGCTGACTCATCGCCAGTAGGTCCTCATGCTCTAGGAAACACACATGCGGTAAGTTATATATGTTTATTAAGAATGCAGGTAAGCCTGCCACACTTTTGCTAAAATATGCGAGCACATTTCATCCATTTGTAGCTACTGTCTACGTATAAACAGCTACTGTCACAAATCCACGTATGGAGTGACATACTTTGGCGTATATATGGAAATTACTTACTAGTCACAGCAGTTCAAGTAGTACTGCCACTTCATTTAACATTTTTGAAATTGTCTGGAGTACTATTTTGTTGTAGAAGTAATATCTCTTGCAGGAAAAACTAGTTCTCTTCCTTAAAAATACACTTACTGAGTTTTTGGAATATCGGGATGCAATTGTGAGCTACAAGAAAAGTGTGTCTTTAGGGAGAGTATCTTTAATAAAACAGGCGGCTAACAGTTTGTGTCTGCAGAAAGTAGGGTTAGTATCTTACGTTCTGTGACAACATTGAGCTGTATGACACCATGTCCCTGGATGCGGTCTGGAGGGTTTCTCACATAGCAGTTGTAAATCCCCTCATCCTCCACCTGAACATCGGATAGGGTGATTGACAGGTCGTTCTTATCCAGGTTCCCAGCAAACATGACCCTGTCTCCAAACCGTTCCGAACGCAGAGCCACCATTCCTTTTTTCCTATAGTATGCCATAAACTACGGAGAAACAGTGAGTTTTTAAAACTGGCTTATAATTTTAAGATGTACAGCAGTTCAGCATGTAAAAAATAGCCATTTTACCATCTCCTCTGTATCGTTGAGTGATTCTTGGTAGGTCCAATTCATGACAAACTTGGTGGCGTCCATCTTGTAGCAGGAAGTGAATGTGCAGGGGATTTTGACAGTTGTTCCATTTAGTGCATTAATGTAGTTAGCCACAAGCACGTCCATGCACGAACAGCCTGTAAATAAAAACATCAGCTTCAGGTAATATCAACAACAAAAAGTACGATACAATATCTATAATACAATATGTATTTTCTCAGTTTGTTTGGATTTTAAGCAAATGCAGACTGTGTTTAATTTCACGTTTGGTCAATTAAGGCCTCAATTCATGTCAAACCCTCAATTTCAAGTTGGGTTGGGCAATCTGATAATCTTACATCAATTTTAATTTCATATAAGATCTGCTTTCAGAGGAATCATGCAGATCGTGCGATTGAAGGTGCTAAATAAAAGTATTTTATTTTAAAAAGTCCAGGTGCTGGTAACCACCAAGGCCCAGTGCGTCCTTATTGTCATTCAGCTGCCTCTCCAGTGATTCTCTCCTGCTGTGAACTGGCTCCAAATCATCGTCTTGGACTGCAGCTGGCAACAGAATTGGTTCACGTGCCGCTACACCAAGCTCACCAAGGCTGCAAAGCGGAGCGAGGACGCCATAAAGTCTGACCACAAAGAGACAGTCAAACACCCTCATCAGTAGCAGTCCAAGAGAAAAACAACCCAATGCCTTTGAAGATTGTCGGTGACGTGGCCAGCCTGCAGGTTGGGAAACATGAGGCAGGACAGGCTAAGGCTAACTAGTTAGCAGTGGCTGAATTCTCAGAATAAAATAACTACATGTAGCACCATTGTCTAAATTTTCCTACTTCATATGAATGAAGTGAAAGAGTGACTCTGGACAGAAGTCGGACGATGCTAGTTTGATGCATGTCGCAATCTTGGATGTTATTTTGTAAACAGATGACAGCGTGACGTCTACATCCTCAGTCACAGCGGCAGAGATGAATGACTACTAAGTTGGTCCCTTACCCTTGAGTTGAAGTGGTAGACTTTGTATCCTAGCAGTTGTATGTACAACTAATCAAGTGGTCAAGAGTTCAACTAAATCTGTGGAGAAAATCGTGATTCAGTCAAGGGATCATGATTCTACCCCAAAAGACCATGATATGGTTGTTTGGCGAGTTCATCCACCCCTAGATGAAGTGAAGGCACAAGTCACTGATGTTAAGGGCTGCATCAATTGACAAGCCAGTGTTAAATTTCTCACACAATAAATCAAGTCAAGAACGTTATCCTATTGTACACCACAGTTCTTCACTTTGCATCTCCAGCTGTATGATTCTTTACATAATCAATATATACAACGCACAGTGGCAAAAGGCAATAAAAAACAAAAGCTACAAAAGTGCAATCCCCCACCAATTTTAACTTTCCATTATGTATATTAGATGTGTTTTTCTACATAACTGCTAGCGCTTCTTCTACATTCCATCTGGAGAGTTCTGTCTTTCAGTCTGACAGTCATCTGATGTGACCTCCTCATCTCACATAACAGATTTAAATGTGGGCATATAGGGCAAAGTGACTGTAGATCCAGAAATACACCGAACATTTCCACTGCTCTGTTCAAAACACAAACACTACACAGGAAGTGGTGATTCAAGCATGTTTGTTTAATTCATTTCAATCTACAGTGTAAGCCTATATATGTGTATGTGCATAGCAGATGGATTAGCACCTTGCATTTTACAAACCCTGGTGAATAAACGGCAGATTTCCACGCAACTTTCCACTATTATTGCAATTACTGTTGGTAGTTTACACATTATTTTAATTATCTCTTTATTTTGGAGAAGGGGCTGCAAGGTGGCTCAGTGGTTAGCACCGTTGGTTCACGTCCCGGTGAGGACACCAGGATCTTTCTGCGTGGAGTTTGCATGTTCTCCCCGTGCAGCGTGGGTTCTCTCCAGGTTCTCCGGCTTCCTCCCACAGTTCAAAAACATGTTGAGGTTAATTGGTGATTCTAAATTGTCCATAGGTGTGAATGTGAGTGTGCTTGGTTGTCTGTCTCTAAGTGTAGCCCTGTGATAGACTGGCGACCTGTCCAGGGGTTTCCTTGCTTTCACCCTAAGTCGGCTGGGATAGACTCCAGCCCCCCGTGACCCTAGTGAGGATTAAGCGGTGTATAGATAATGGATGGACGGAACTTGTTCACTGTGTAGAGTGTATTCATGTCATGTTCAATCACTGCAGCTGATAAGGTTATCACGAGGCGTAGCAGGATTGCCAAGTATCTTTTTGTCTTTTTCTTCTTGGATCTCTTGATCACAGTAGGTTTTGTTGACCTGCATACAAGAAGCTAGAAAGCATGTATGTGGTTCAGTGGAGCAGTACACATGTAAACGGTGCTCCACTAAGGAAGTGTTTGGAGTTTAACATTCAAAAATGAAAGTCAAACACACATAACTGCACATAATATAGCTTAAAATGAAATTAAAGTCTCGTTTAGGTTTTCTCAAGTTTGGTCCTGCCCTCTCACATTATGTCTCAGCATGGGCTCACACTCCCCAGACAGAATCTGTGCCGCTCTCTCAGTATGCGTGTGTGTGTGTGTTTGTACGTGCGTGTGTGTGTGTGTGTGATGGGACTCTGCACCATTCTCTCCTCTGCAGTCGAGTGTTTCTGGCTCCCTTCCCACTGCTGCTGCACCACTCCACAGGCCTGCCTCTCTGCACCACACACACACACACAGACACAGACACACACAACCAACACATGCACTTTCTACACTATACCTCGCTCTGTCCAGATATATAATTTACACACATGCACACACAATTCTCCCCATGTGCGCAGCCCACCCCAGTCAGGTGTCTTGTGATGCGGTGCAGCACCTGCCTCACGCTCTCTCTAAACAAACACGCACACGCTCTCCTGCAAGGTGTGCACTGTCAGCAGTGAGCTAAGCCCGCTAGCTGTGCTAAGTCAATGTCATCCCTGCACACTGACCTATCTGTGCGCACAGCCAACGGCGGTGCATCCTAGCAGTCAGTGCCGCTGCGCACATGTAAGCACCGCGTACACGCATGTGCTCCTGTGCGCAGATTTACAGCGTGAGAAGCAGTTTGATACATGTTCCTGCTCCTGCTGACTCAGCAGTCCCGTGGATAGTGAGAAAGAGAGGCAGATGCAGAGACTTGCTAACAGATGAAATACTGCAGTGAAGCACCCTCATGTGACTCCTCCCTCTCCCTGCCCCTCCCTCTTTCCTCTCCCATCTTTGTCCACCTCCCTTGCCTCCTCTTACGCCTCTTTCCCTGTACCTCTTCTTTCCAACCCATATACCACTCTTAAAATAATTGTTTTGTTCTGCTTCTTTCCATCCTTACTTCCTAGTACTGCATGCCTCTGTCTCTCTCTCTCTTTCTCTCTCTGTCTCTCTCCCTTACTCCCTTTTGTGTCCCTCAGTTGTCCCCTTGCATTGCAAGGTCAATAGAGAGAGAGAGAGAAAAAAGATACAGCAAAGGTGGGCCTGTTACATCGCCTTTCCTGTGCCCTCTTCATTCCTTTTTCCCAACTCCATATGGCCACCTTTTTAAGGTTTGACTTATTCATACAATCATATTCACATGTTGGTAAACATATCAGCTTCAATTTAATACAACGTCTGCCTCCATCACATATTAGCAGGAAAAATACACTTCAAGAATGTAAAGCTTATAATTTTACAAAAATGAAAATGACAACCACAGTGTTCCGGTTTGTACTAAAAAGAGGATAAAGGCTATGGATTATAGAGCTGGAGACGCAGCACCACATATCTGGGCAACACTGTCAAGCAGGTGCAGTTTTTCAGAGTATGCACAAATGTTGTTTCTCATTTTAACAGGAAAGGCGGTTTCTTAAACTGAAATCCTTGGATTATCCAGGAAATTTTCAATAAATACGGCAGTGAATTATATAATTTTTTCACTCTAGTCTGGACTTAACACTCCCACTTCCAGATCTCAATCCAATTAGGCATCTGTAGGAAAGCATGGACAAAGCTTTTCAGAGTAAGAATCCACTGAAGACCAACTTGACAAAACCACAGACAGCGCTGTTTGAAGGTCTCCTCCACAAGTGATTTAAAGCTGCTTTAACTACACAAAGGGCTGCGGCTAAGTATTTAGAGGATGTCTCAATTTTTTATTTTTTTTTTGGCTTATTTTTATGACAATCATTTATGAGGACAGTGTGGCGCAATCCCAAAAAGTGTCACCACTGAATTTGAACTGACGCTCTTTTGACCGTGGCCTCCGACCTTCACATTCTTCAGAGCCTGTCAAGTTCACCACAAAGCAATTACAACCCACTTTAACTGGGTTTTAAATTCTATCTATTTGTCCCCCAGGGCAATATAATCTGACATCACAAGGTTCCCGGCAGAAACACCAGATCTGCTTCCAGATTAGTTTCTTCAATTTCTGGTGGACAAATTATTCTGTTTTTGTGCGGCATTCGGGCGGGCAGGATCCTGGCTGGTGGTCGGATGGTTGTTTGTTTCTCTCTGCCGCAGGGAAAATATTACGTGCACTGAAGATTTGTTAGATTAGGGTGGGACAAGACATTATTTGTTATTCACTTAGCTTCCACGTCTGCCACTGCTTGGCATCTCAACCCTTGATTGTGTCACTACATGTAACCTTTTAGCGCAAGACAAATGTTACAAGTGACAAATTACAAATGACTTGCCGCAAATTTGACTACAAGTTTAAAGCAGTCGGGGGTTAGTGAAGCTCAGGCAGCACGGAGCGGTTTTGGTGTCGAGTGTGTTTTAAATAACGCGTACACATTTTTTGAGGATAATATTTCAGCCCCCGGCTTGCTGCCTTTAAATTCTTGACCCTTGATTCAGTCGTGTTTCTGTGCTGCTGGGATTCTCTCTAGTGCCCCCTGCTTTGGATGATGCCACACTGCATTCTGCACACTGCAGCATCCAGAAGACAACCATTTCAGCTACACTACAAACATATGAGTGTTGAGCTCTTTTGGGGGGAGCTGCAGAAATCCTATGGGACAGAGAAGCTTTACTCTGATTATATCATGACCAGACTGGAATAAGGATCACTGCCAGAAAATAACACATAATAGCAGTGCTATGTGAGCCTGCGGCATCACATATGTGTTATTGTTAGTGTTATGTGAACACCATTACATATGTCAAACGAAAAACACAGTCTCACAGACAGGGACGCATTATCCAGTACACTGACTTCACTTTGCTGCAGTGTTGTACGCACAATAAGCACTGCTACTTTTCAGATCACACAAATGTCAAACATGGAAAATATTGACCAGTGGTTCGAGCTTGATCATTTAAAAGGTACTTCCTGTTCCATGTCCTCTTCTCCTCTGTACTCTTTCTCTATTATGCATTATTGACAACCGTGTCTACTTCTATTAGAGTCACACAGTCTGGTTGTTTTAGGGTGCACCTTATAGACAGCAGATGTTAAACCTTCAAACAGCACTTGAGCAAATTCTACAAAAAAAAGACAAAAGCTTGACAGCTAGACACCAATGTCCACTATAGTTTTGGATGGTGGCAGTTTTATTACTACAAAATACTTAACAACTTAAAAAATAGATCAGTTTCAGCAGACGCAATGCTTCTTGGCAGTGATTTGATTAAAAACACTGCATCCATTTACTTCATATAACAATAACAATACATACAGGTCTCTTCAAATGTACTTTTGCACTGTAATAATTTAGAGTAAACGTTCACAAAGCACTGCTTGGACCAGCAACTTGATTTAGCAGTTAAGAATATTATTGATAACTGATCCCCTGAGGTAGGCCGTTTTTACAGCAGTGTTTATAGATTTCAAAGAAGAAATTCTTGTAATTTACAGACAACTACAGTCAGTGTTGATCACAGTGGCAACACTATATAAATGTTGGAAAGTCTAGTTTCAGGATTGAACGGTGAACTTCAAATCCACAGAGTACTCTAATCAATTATACAGTAATTAACAGTTTAAGTAAATTATAATTGTAACACTGTTACAACCACAGCTGCCAGTATTTCACTATAATTTAACAGGAAAATGTCTACAGTGATTTCTTTGGCAGTTTCAGTTTACGCCAGTAAAGGTAACAATAACTATCCCTGTCATTTTCTGTTGTAAAGGCACCAAGAGATACACCACACTACACTAAAACTAAATGAAATCAATAGTTGGAGCAATCATTCACTTTCTTTAAAGCAGTAATACGTCCCCAAGGTACAGTCACAGTTTTTCATGGTACTCGGCAAATAGGTTTTTCCAAACATCCTGAATGGCTTATCACAGTTTTTTTGTGGATTTAGACTCAGACACTCAGTCCTTGTTCTTGTTGTTGTTGGATATTGGTATTTATGACCCTGACTGAATGTTTGGGGTCACTGACGTCCAGCAGAATGAACCTCCTTCTTGGTATTGGGTGAATAATTGCCCAAAACCTACCAAAATATAAAATACTGTTTAAATTGTGGAAGACACTCAAGGACTTTGTGCTACTGTGCCGGATGATGCATTACACGGTTCATTGGGTTAGTGATATTTACCTCTGTTGATATATTCTGTGACAACTCATTATTTCTTGTTAAGTTTATTTGGTTTATCGAGTGTCGTTGTTTTTAAGAGAAAAGGCACTGCTGGGATTCGAACCCAGGATCTCCTGTTTACTAGACAGGCGCTTTAACCAACTAAGCCACAGCGCCTGTAGGAGAGGGATTCCTTAACAGATATCACAGAATTTACAAGTCTATTTCAAGTTTGGAGTGTTTTGTTTTCCTATTTCAGATCCAAACAGGCTCCACTGCTGTTACACTGAGGTCCTGTGGGAATTTGAAACTTCAGTTCTCCATGACATTACTTAAGGTTGCACTTTGGCCTGTTTGAAGTGCCTGCCAGTGCATTCATGGTACATCCCTCCTCTTCCCTTTGTGTTGCTGCCCTCTAGTGCCTCTCTGTGGGAACTGTAACTGTGCGGTTGCTGAGCAGAATAATAGTTCAAATGCTGATGGGCAAAAGGAATATGGATGAGAAATTTCATCTAATTATCTAAAAATACACTGGTGTGAGTTTTCTCATGTAATTTCCAAACCAGTGAACATTGTTTGAAAGAATACGCCTGCCTCAGTAAAAGCCTTTTAGGCATCTCTTCTAGTTATTGCACCTATGATGATCCAGCGCAACATCTTGTATGTTGCTCAGGTTGATAAACTCACTTCAATTTGGATGCAAAAGCCGAGTAAATGAGGCCACAAAAAAAAATGCAGTCCCCCATGAAAAACAAAAGAAGAAGAAAGTCAGTAAATGCTGTTTCCCACCACAAATGGTTTTTCTTAACGATGTAGGCAAACACTGATGGCATCTTTACAAGCAAAAGCTAACCTACGGATTTACTTGTTGCGTGTTATAAGTGCACTACATACACATCACTGGTGACATGTGGGTTACAATATGCTGCAACTCCATTTATTTGGCTTGTGTAATGCTCTTACGATGCAAAAAGTTGGCTTACATCTGCTGGGGGAGTGCAGGCTCCTCCATGTTTAGGCTTATTTGCTCATTCTCAGTTTGCTGGGGATTTTTGTGAGATGTGGGTCACAGTTTGAGGAAGCATGTTGTGACTTTTTTGTGTTCCTTCGACTCCACATTCTCCAGATGAGTTTATATAAATTCACACACTATTGAAATGGCACCCATATGGACAGTTTGTGTCTGCTCAGGGATGTGAACACCAATGACAACACCTTATTAAAAGGCCTGTTTCCACCCACTGCTCCCAGCACTGAGTCACACAGACCTCTGAATACTATCCTAGCTGTATGTGCGCAGTCTGAGCCAGTATTAATAGTACATCAAAATCCCATTGAAACAACAATCTAGCTGTCATCAGAGGCCAAACAGAGCCGCAGGAGGTGGTTGGGGAGGTAAAGAAGTGGCTGCAGAATTAACATCGATAAAGGCGGTGGAAGAAAAAAAAAAAAAACACAAACACAACAGTCCAATGGGTGGCCTTGCAAAAGTGGGAAAACGCTGGTTTCAACAATCAGCCTCCGTTATCTCATATTACACCCATTTATCCTCCCACTCTCTCGGTCACCACACACTCGGAGTGGAAAGGTGATATCATCCCATCCGACTTCTGATCGAATGTATCAGAGCATCGATCGGGTTTGGCTGTTTTTTGTTTTTTTCTGTTTTGTTTCTTACCGGAGAGCAGCAGCAGCAGCAGCGCGCTCCCCAGCTGAACGCCAGAGCTCCTCTCCTGCGCCCGGGAAGACATTTTTTTTTTTTATCTCCTTCTGGTTTAAAAGAAAAAATAAGGGGGAAAAAGACCTGTATATCTCTAGAAAAATATAGTAAAAATAGAGAAAAAAAAGAGAGCAAGTTTGCTCTTGGTGTGTGCGTTAAAAGGCTAAAAAACAGTATTTTTTTCTTGTTTTAGAGGCAGGACATGGCTGGCAGTGTCTGTAGCCTTATGACGGTTGGTCTTGTGGTTGTCGGTTTGTTTTTGCGGTGGAGGAGGGAGAGCAGGAGAGAGGAAATGGAAAGTGAAATAATATGGAGGATGTGCCTTTATACAGATCAGGCAACAAAATATACAACAGAGCAACAAATCAGCTCAGGAGATGCACCAAAAAAAGAAAAAGAAATAAAAACCTCTTGGATAAATTAATGCACAAATATACATGTTTCTAAATTTTTCCTCCGTACATTGTTAAGATTATGTTTCAGTTTAATCACAATAAAACTGAAATTTATCACATTCTCAAGCTCAAACAAAAGTCAACAGTGACAAAATGAGCCTAAAAAAAAAAGAACCTACAACATCTCCTTCTTAGAAGATTCAGGCTGCCGTGTCGACAAGCGAGAAATTAATCGGAGACCATCCCCAACCTCCCGCCTTTAATCCATTTCTCCATCCATCCTTCCTGGGTGGGAGGCAGGAGGAGAGGATGGTGGGAAAATAAAAGAGGCAAACACTAACTGGTAGTCACAGGTATCACCCTTTCGTTCATTCTTTCACTTGTTACCTGCTGGAGGCCAACGAGGGGGGGGAGGCTATAACAAACAATGTTGGGTTGGATGATGGGTTGGAAGGACGGGAGCTGAGAAGCCTCAGAAATTCCTCTAAGTAGCCACATAGTCTAATCTCAGCGTTCAGAAAGAAATGGGTGATGTCAGGATAGAGGAGAGCGGAGAATTAGAAGAAGTGTGGAGGGAGGGAGGGTGTTAGGTTAAGACAGGAAGAGAGGGAAAGCAAGATGTAAGAGGGACTTAGCAGAGTGGTTTGAAGGCATTAAGCCATTAGGAGGAGAGAGGAGGTAGAGGAGAAGGGTGGGCCAGTTGCCACTCTGCGGTTAGCACAACAACACTGCTGACTACAACAAGAAAGAGCTTTCAAATCTACTGCCAAAGCAGAGATTTAGATACCAAGTAGCCATAAACGTAGTCCACTGAAAATAACTTGCTGCTGATACCAGCTCTGGTACATATTCACAGCCCTGACAGCCTGAGTTCATGTAGTCAATCAGCAGACTGGTTTGTTAGCCTGTGGATATCACTGCTCAATCCAGCTGACTGCCTGTAAGTGCTAATGTTGCATTTTGATTCCATTTTAGGATAAAATCAATATATAATGAGTAAAAACATGTAAGCAGTGTGAAATGTTTTATTACATTCTGTCTTTTCTTTTTGAAATAGGGAAATGAGTTGTTGTTCCCACAGGGAGCTTCCCTACAACAAAAAGGACACCAGAAACTCACATGTATGAACTGTATAAGAAATAATAACAGGCAGATTGGGAGTGAGATCATAGACCAAAAGTAACAAGTGTATCCACCATTTATATTGCACAATGTTACAAATCTGCAAAGCATAGAGTTACTGAGGTTGTTGCTGCAGGCTTGTGGAATGTTGTCCCACTTTTCTGAAAGGACTCTGTGAAGTTGGTGGAAATTTTGTGGGTCAGGATCATGTTTTTGGATGTCCATCCAATGTATCAGGTGGTACCATAGTCTGACTAACTGCATGTAAGATATGATAAGCCAACACTCATTTCCCAGTCGAGAGGCATGCATCCTGCCCAGCAGAGAGGAGGAGACGTGCACCGTGACGGAGCATGACGTGAGGCGGATGTTTCAACGCGTGAATACCAGGAAAGCTGCAGGACCTGACGGTATAACTGGCTGTGTCCTGAAAACCTGCGCAAACCAGCGTGCATCGGTGTTCACGGAAATATTCAACCTCTCGCTCTCCCAGTGCATCATCTCCAGGTGCTTTAAACAGTCTGTGATTGTTCCTGTCTCCAAGAATGCCAAGCCCAGCTGTCTTAATGACTACCGGCCCATTGCCCTTACCTCTGTGGTGATGAAATGTTTTGAAAGACTGGTCAGAAATTTCATCACCTCCTCCCTACCTGCCTCCCTGGACCCCCTACAGTTCACATACCAGCCAAACAGATCCACAGACGACGCCATAAATCTCCTGCTACACACAGCCCTGGCCCACCTGGACGACACAGCAGTGGTGGGTCTGATCTCCAACAACACCGAGGAGGACTATTTGATGATCACCCACCTGGAGGACTGGTGCAGAGACAACAGCCTCCTCCTGAACGTCAGCAAGACTAAAGAGCTGATTGTGGACTACAGCAAGAAGCAGCAGAGGGCAGACCACCCACTCAGGATCAGTGGGACAGAGGTGGAGCAGGTGGAGAGCTTCAAGTACCTGGGTGTCAACATCACGCAGGACCTGACGTGGTCCTGTCACATCAGCACCCTGGTGAAGAAAGCTTGACAGCGTCTTGACCACCTCAGGAACTTCTACACCTGCACCACTGAGAGTGTTCTGGCTGGGAGCATCACCACCTGGATGGGCAGCAGCACCCAGCAGGACTTCTTGGCTCTGAGGAGGGTGGTCCGCTCAGCTGAGCGCACCATCAGAACCACCCTCCCCAACCTGCAGGACATTTACAACAAGCGATGCAGGTTAAAGGCCAGGAAGATTGTGAGTGAGCCCACCCACCCCAGCCACAGACTGTTCTCTCTGCTGCCGTCAGGGGGGCGTTCCCGCTGCCTGAAGGCAAACACAGAGAGGATGAGGAGGAGCGTCTTCCCTCAGGCTGTCTGCCTGCTCAACCTGAAACAATAGACTCAATAGACAATCAAACCGGTCACTTTGCACTTTGTATATATACATGTATATAGTATTATTATTTTCTTGAATCCTTGAATTTCAGTGGGCTTTTTCCTTCCTTCTGCCATCTGTGTGTTACAGTTTCTTCACAATGGGAAACAACAGCAACAACCTCTGAGCAGCAACCTACCACTCTAAAAATGTAAAGTTTAACAGAGGCTTTGGATTTGGATCGTGCAGTAAGATAGCCCTGCTAAATATTTGGGGCTTGTTTGCTGTGTTTTGTTCGCAGTGGATTAACCATTTTAATCACAGTGTTTGTCTTCTTGCATGCAAATGTTCCACCATCACTGTTTCCAGAAAACACCGATGCCACATCGCTCGTTTAGCCTCACCGACTATGACTGTGATTAGTTTAAAGAGTTAAAAACAAGCCAGAGTGTTTCACCCCTATAGCAGAGTGATAGTGTGGTGCAGCTGTTCTACAGAATCGGTTGGTAAAGCAAGACTAGTGGTACCACGCTGTCTGAAATGATTTCTTTGAAGACAAATGGTGCAGCTGCATTTTAAAGTGACCTTTTTGTAGTCAGTGGTCAAAGGAGTGTTTGTGTACTGGTCTCACTGTCTGATCATTGTGGAGTAATTCAGCTCAAAAACTTTTTGTGGACAGTTGGCTAAATTTAACAATTAAACCATACCAGCAGAAATTACATTTTTACTTTTTTTTGTCCAAGGCACAGAGGTCGACCATCTGTATGCTGCATTTATATTTTTGTTCAGTGTAATGCAAGCTGATAGCAGTTGTTTACCTAATGTCAAATAATACACATGTAGCACCGACACAAACATCATTGCAATTTAAGTAAAAACCCTTCCATATGTCACTAATCATCTGTTATTGTAGCCTACAGATTTTTAGGAGGCTAATGAAACATATTGTTGCTCTTAACTTACAATTTAATACCAGAATATCATCTCACCGCAACCTGCAGTCTGTGGCCTGAAAGGTGAGCAACACCCACAACTCAAAAACTTGAACTAGGCAAAATTACTGGTACATTTTTAAGGTCTGGCACCCGTACGTAGAATGGTTAAAAACACTGGAATCTCCTGACGTTAACTGACAGACTGTATGATTTTGTTTTGTATCAACAAACAGTTCAACTCCCCCTTCTTGCCAGAAGCTGTAGAAATGCAGAAAGCCTATTTATTCAACAGTGACAGAAGAATATATCAAGGTCACTGTAGTTTCCCTCTATATAAACAATATGGAGGCCTGTAGACCATCTGCGTTCTCTCATTTTTCCAGCACGATACTGATCGAAGTCACCGGTTTACCTTGTGATTGTGCTGCTGGGGCTACAACAATGCATTACGCTGAGGAATAACTGTTGGACTGTTGGAAACAAAATGTCACAGCATAACACAGCAGTGTGTGTTGCCCACCACTGAGTGTATAAATCATTATCACCATGTTTACTGGGTTAGCACCAGCTGCCTCACTGATTCCACTGCTGTGGGGGAACCTGGAAAGCAACCAGTGTGTGTGTGCACTCGCATTTTAAGTCTTTTGTTGCCTGTCATTTATCCTGAGACTATGACACCTGCTGGAGGTTGACACCTCTACATGTTACCCCGAGTTATTTCTCTGCTTGAGTTGTCAGTTTGTTTACTCAACAGTCTTTTATTTACTGTTGTTTACTCTTAAATGCCCTGACATCCCTTTTTGTTTCTGCTATACATTTTGCAATGGTGCCTACCTGAACATTTCTGCCAAAGTTCTAACAGCTCTAGCTTTGTTTTAGGCAAGAGATTTTTTTGTATTTGTGCTTTTTTTGTGCTCTGTTCACTGGTTTGAAATAGGAAGGGGCTCAGTTCAGTAAAGGTAACTTCATCTATTTGTCACCATTCACAGATAAACAACATATGTCTTAAAATTTGCTTTCCAACACTGTCAATTAAATTTGTTCCTGCATCCATTCAGTCCTTATAAAGCAGATCAACAAGGATTTAAAAAATATTTTTATTTATTTATTTTTTTAACTAGTAAGGTTTTTCTTTAAATTTTGGCCTTCAGCTACAAACATTTATCCATCCATCATCTACACACCGCTTAATCCTCACTAGGGTCGCGGGGGGGCTGGA